TAGGTAGAATAATTAGCAGAGGGGTAAAAAGGAAAAACAAAAATTCTTATTTATCAAGGCAATTAGACTCAACCTGAAAATTGAGTCCACCTTGTCCAACTCGACGGATCCAGGAATTTTTTAGAGAAGGGGCAAATTTAAAAGGCTAAAAGCTCCATAAAATTATTTAGACAATATCAAATAACCTTGAATTTAAACAATACTAATATCATTCATAATTTATAGAAAGAATAAAATTACAAACAAATCTTCGATGAACTCACTTTTAATATTTAAAGTGGGAGAGAATATCTCCTATTCTCAAATATCTATAGAGATCTCATCAACTTGCGCTTTTAATTTGTTTTGCTATGTTTGGAGTTTCTTCAGTCTAAAGTGACAATATTTTGAAAGACGAAGTATAGAGGGTAGGCGTTTTTGGTCCCTTAAGCTTTGAGACACTGAGGTGTAAACCTTTTGAACTTGAATTATTTTAAAAACTAATATATAAAAAGATGTGTTACTCATTTATTTAACACTACAACATGAAGATGACATAACTATTAAAAAGAAAAAATAGAGATGACATTTTTTTAAAATAAAAAATTTAGAAAAGAGATGGCCTATTAATAAGTATTATATATTTTATGAAGTGGGCATGAGAAACTATACCTGTTCAATTAATAATGAATTCCAAAGTCTTTTGCCCCAGAACAAACAAAAACTTACGGATATTTATAAGTTAATTGCAGGCCTATCTTTTTGGGCTTTGCCACCACCAAAACCCACTGCTTGGAGAACTCAAATGAAACGATGTGTTTCATTAAAAGATATCAAATAAACAGAACGGTGTCGTTATAGCAAAAGAAATTAGGTATAGTCTCCTTCGCAGAACCTTGCGCCTTGGACTCCATAGCCACTGGTTGGTTGTGCTTTTTTTTGGCCTCAGACTCTAAGGAATTTTCCGGCGAAGGGAGGTGCAATTGCACCTCCTTGCGCCTTTGTGGGTCCGCCACTGAATGTGAAAAGAAACAAAAACAAAAAATCAAAAAACCAGTACAAGCTTCATGCTACTTTTGCCTATCACACTAATCCATGTTGAGGAAGCTTTATATGAGATTGCTTGTTGCTATAAATCCCTTGGAGGTCTCTGTTTAGTTCTTCCATCAAAATGAGGAGAACTTTTGGGCAGTTTGCAGTGAAGGAATTACGTTAGAGGAGAAGCTGTATGTGAGAGTTGGAGGAAATTAACCCACCAAAATTAATGTTGATTTCATATCCATATGCAAATTACAAGAGTGAATTTTTCTCATTATGACAATTTTCTTTTAAGTGAGAGTTGGAGGCAAGTTTCCTTTTTTTAAGCTGTATTTATTTTTAGGGTAATTCTATATGAACCCCATTATTTGCTCTTTACACCCCTTAATTTTTATACACCCCACTAAATTTTAAAAAAATTTCGAATTACTCACTATACCCCATTTTTTTCCCTAAAATGCCCTCATGAACCCCATTTCCTAACTCTCTTTGTAAACCCCATCCCATATCAGACCACCCCCATCGAAAATTCCCTTTCTCTTCAGATACACACCCCATCTAATATCAAACCCCACCCCACCCCATCCCATATCAAGCCCCACCCCATCGAAACTTCCCTTCTCTTTGAAACAGACCCATCGCACCCAATCTCTGCAAACCACCGATCTCCATCGTATCTCTGCAAACCACCACTCCATCGCATCTCTGCAAACCACTCTGTCAAGTTTCCACAAATCCTTCGAAGATTCAAGGTATGATTTCAATTTTGATTTCTATATTTACGTTTCTAAGTGTTGATGAAGCCTATGTTTGATTTTGATTTCACAAAGTTTGATTTTGAACTCTGGTTGTATGGTTCGTTCGAACCTAGTTTTACGAAATGGGATTTTAGTTTCGGTGGATTACCACCGAATTGGTTACATTGTTTCAGAGGTAGTCCACCGAATTTGAACCACTAAAATTAATCTTACTTTCGGTGGGTTGTCACCGAACTCGTTACCTTTTTTCGGTGGTAGTCCACCGAATTTATTTATATTTTTCAGTAGTACTCCACCGAATATGTTTTCTTTTTTCAGTGATAGTCCACTGAATTTGTTTCGTTTTTCAGTGATCATATACCGAATTCGTTACTGAGTGTGTACTTAATACTGCTTTTTTAGATATGAAGAGGACTCGCTGAGGTACTACTGAGGCTTCATCATCTCGACCTGATAGACAGCGTCCTACAGCCTCAACTCCCGAAAATAGTAGCTACATTCTCCACTCCCGAAAGTTGTTGAAATGCATCCACACGCGCTTGGTACCTCGAGTACAAATGTGTTATATTGCATATGTCACTTTGTTCATGTCACATTCTAGAAACTGGTGGAATAGGATGATCTGGAGACAAATGAACCTACAAACAAGAATTCATTCAAATAAGCATTGCATATAAAATTAAACTATGTAGTGTAAACAAATAAATTCATACCTGGACATAGTGATCATCGTCAACAAAACCAATAGTAATCTCACGTAGAACTCATGTTAGTTAAAGAGAAAATTTGAAACATTAATGCCACATTAATGATACTAAAAATGATTTCAAACAAAAAAAAACTCAAAATAATTATCGAATAAGTTGTGAATTGATCACTATAGTCCATTACACATTTTGTTCCCACATTCTTGCCTTTAGTAGGGGCGTTGTTGCGTCGATACAGCTGCACCAAAATGGATTCAGCTGCATCCTCAACTTGTGATACTCGCAAGTGCACGAGCCGTTTGGTAGTATAGCATATGTAAGTGCGAGGTCGATCCCACGAGGATTGGTAATTGAATGATTCAATTCATTTTCCCTACACAAAACAGAAATGAAAAAGAAGGGAAATAAATAAAACAAGGAAGAAAGAAAATAACTAACTCAAGCAGATAAGTTCCCAAGTTCAATTTAGATTAATGGATTGATTCTAGCTAAAGTATGATTAAGCCATGGTGTGTGGTCATAACCTTGTGTTCCTAATTCCCTAATTTGATCATTTGTTGTCTAACCTAAAATTAAGCATTAGGAACCCATTAAGCATAGAAGAACAATTTAAACAACCAAGCATGTATCTAATCCCTGTTGTCGAATGTCCATACATACTCTTCTTATTCATAGTTCAATTCGAATTAAAGCATGGTGTATACTCTTAATTCAAACCAAGATAGCTAACATGCAAGCCTAAATGGTCATCAATCATTCAAACTAGCATATTAACTTATAAGCATAATGAATAAGAACATGAACCATAATTGAAACTTGGAAACTAATCAAACTTGAAAAACTAAAGAAAAGAATTTACATAATGAAAAATAAATTACAACTAAGAAGCAAAAGCAAAGCTAGAATTGAGAACTAGAAAGCAAAATTAAGAGAATTTGAGGGAGACAAGGGAAGGGAGCTCTAGAGAAGTGTTTGAGACCTCCCCCCTTTGGGGTGTGATTTATGAAGCTTGAAGACTTCTCTATTTATAAGGCTAAGAGGGAGGAACATCATGATGAAATTCAACACCACCATTCCTTCTTTAATACAACCCATAACTCACACTTCATCTTGTCTATGTTAATGTGGTTGGAATCAATCTCATCCCATACTTCTTTTGCTGCACCTCAAACTTTCTTCACATGGGATTTCAAAGGTGTTCAATTGTGGCTGCCTTTTGCTGCCAACCCATGTGGTCTTCTT